TGCCTCTGTGTCCTGCGAGAAGAGGAACAGAGACCAAACGCCACTGCAAAATGGGCACACCACTGGATCGAAATAGGATAGGTAAATATAGGGAGGTGAGAGGGCGATACAACTGCTGGGACATTTTTATTTTCTTACCTTAATGCAGGGAATGCATTTGAAAGTGGCTGTAAACCCTTACACACAGTATACCTAGTGAAGTGATTGGCCTCAGGTGATACACAGAGATGAAAAAAATCCTCCTACATAAGTTGTACCTGTCTATCTGCAGCCTTCTCTACATCCATTCAAAGTGCTGAATTTACAGCTGGTCAGAGTTCAGAAAAAAGGGGGGGCGGACAGCTTAGGTTTCACTATGCAGAGCTCAGTGAGGAGTTCTGTGAGCTCTCTGGAGGAAAAGACACACCCCCTACACACAGCTCACAGGAACAGAGTTGAGGGTGCCACCATTTTTCTCTTGGTGAAAGGAGAACTTGTCAGAAGTGACTCATGCTGATAGCAGAGGAACAAAGCAGCAGACATAACCACAGAGGAATATGCTTTGTTCACATTTCAGGTCTGTGATTTACAACCACTTTAAAAAAGGTAAGAAAAAGGCTGGCCTTTAGAACCACTTTAATGCACCTGAAAGGTAAATATGACACTACTGCAAAAAAAAAAAAAAGTAACTGTGGTTATATACTGGATATAAGAAATGTAACCAGTAATGACTTCGAGCATAGCTTATATGTTCCAGAGCCCTGCACCAATGTTAAAGTAAAGTATAACTAAAGGCAAACTTGAAGGGGATTAGAATCCTTTCAGGTTTTATTGTCTGTAACCGTTAGGGAGATTCACCCCCCTCTATTTGTTCTGTTTACCATTTTAATTGAAAGTGAAAGTAAAAAAAAAAAAATCCAAACTTTTGGGTTGTCACCAGAAAAGTAAGAGGGGAAATCTTCCAATGGGGACACAGGTTCTGATGACCAGGGGGAGCCCCAAGGAATTCCCTTAATTTGCAGGGATTTCCTCTCACTTCCTGTTTGGTTATGGGACAGGAGGTGAAGGGAAAGCTCCCCAATGGGACACAGAAGGTGAAAATAAATCTGACGGGTTACAACCCTCCCTTGCTCTATCCAAACTGGAAAAACAAAAAACGTTTTGCCTGTGGTTCTACTTTATTTGCAGCAAATGGTGTAGGGCTTTTCACAGGTTGCCAACCCCCCCCCCCCCCATTCTTAAACAGCCTCAATTAACTAATTTCTTTCCCAGCCTCTTTGTAGTCTATTTCTTAAATTCTCTTTGCTTTTACAATACATAGCTACATTTTATCTCTTAAGAGGCAAAACCACATTAAAAAAAAAAAAAAAAAAAAAAAAAAAGGTTTGTTCACCACCCCTTCCCCCCCCCCCCCAAAAAAAAAAATCATATCTCATGTATCATAAGTAGAGTTAATTGGCCCTGGAGCATAATTGGATCAAAGTGGCTAAAGAGGAAAAGAAAATATATTCAGTATTCACTATTCTGCGTAACAAGCCATTTGTGCACTATTTGCTTCAGTCTGAGTGCCAACATGTAGGTGTAGTTCAGGCAGCTTTTTACAAGCCCATAGACTGCTTAGCACCATTTTCCTCAGACAGCTTGTCACATTGTAATTATTCTGTACTGGTGCAGGCATCAATGTGTAATGATGTACACAGTCATTACTTTTGCAAATAGTTTTATGCTTAAAGTGTCTATAAACCCACATCATTAAAAACTACCAATAAATGTTGTATTACATGCTGTTCATACCCACTCGGGTCACTATAGGATTTGTGTTCTGTATTCTGCCTTGTTGATCCTGCTGTTCATCTTCCTCCCCATGTCCCAACTGTAGATGGGGATTTTGCAAAGCAATGTTGGCAGCTAGTTCACATGCTCAGATTTCAGTGTATTTTTATCCGGAGCATTTCCTCCCTATCACATCTGAGCTGTCAATGTGACTATAGAGTCACACATGTGGGTGTATACACAGTGCTAAAATGACAGCCCACTCCCTCCCTCCTTTTCCATGCCCATTAACCAACTAAACACAATGGGAGTGAGATATTATACCTTGAATGATGGAGGCTTCACCTCCCTGTTATTTTAAGACACAGGCCTGAAGGGCGTGACACAGCCTGTGACTGGCAGTAATCTGCCCACACTATATATTTGCCAAAAAATAATAAATATTTGATTTCAAATATACAGTTAGGTCCATATATATTTGGACACAGGCACAAATCTATTTTTTTTCCAGGTATTTACCAAAACATATTCAAGCTATAGTTCTATAATGGATATGGGTTGAAAGTGCACACTCTTAGATTTAATTTGAGGGTATGTAAATCCAAATTGGAGGAAGGGATTAGGAATTACAGCTCTTAAGGAGTAGCCATCCCCCCCTTTTTCAAGGGACCAAAAGTAATTGGACAATTGAATCAAAAGCGGTTTCATGGCCAGGTGTGGGCTACTCCATTATTTCTTAATCAATTAAGCAGGTAAAAGGTCTGGAGTTGATTTTAAGTGTGGTATTTGCATTTTGAATCCATTGCTGTGAACCCACATCATGCGTTCAAAGGAGCTGTCCATGTAAGTGAAACAGGCCATTGTAAGGCATCAAAAACAAAACAAATCCATGAGACAGATAGGAGCAACATTAGGAGTGGCCAAATCAACAGTTTGGTACATTCCGAGGAAAGAAGAACGCACTGGTGAGCTCAGCAACATAAAAAGGTACAGCTGTCCATGGAAGACAACAGTGGTGGATGATCGCAGGATCCTCTTTATGGTAAAGAAAAAACCCATCCACAACATCCAGATGGTGGGCGGATCATTGTCAAAGTCTACAATCAAGAGAAGACTTCACAAGAGCAAATACAGAGGGTTCACCACAAGGTGCAAACTATTCATAAATCTGAAGAATAGCAAAGCCAGATTAGACTGCCAAAAAACATCTAAAAAAGCCATACCAGTTCTGGAAAAGCATTCTTTGGACGGATGAAACTAAGATTAATCTGTACCAGAATGATGTGAAGAAAAATAAAAAGAAAAAAAAAAGCTCATGATTTAAAGCACACAATGTCATCTGTAAAGGACAGTGGAGGCAGTGTGATGGCATGGGTATGCATGGCTTCCAGTGGCATTTGGTCAATGGTGTTTATTGATAATGTGATAGAAGCAGCCGTATTAATCCTGCAGTGTTTAGAGATTTACGATCATCCCAGATTCAGCCAAATGTAGCAAAGTTCATTGGACGGCGCTTGACAGTACAGATGGACAATGATCCAAAACACACTGCAAAAGCAACCCAGGAGCCTTTGAAGGAAAAGAAGTGGAATATTCTGCAATGGCCGAGTCAATCTACCTGATCTCAACCCAATTGAGCATGCATTTCACTTGCTGAAGGCAAAACTAAAGGCAGAAAGACCCACAAAGAACAACTGAAGAAAGCTGCAGTTAAGCTAGCAAAAGCATCAGAAAGGAGGAAACACAGTCTTTAGTAATGTCCATGGGTTCCAGACTTCAGGCAGTCATTGCCAGTAAAGGATTCTCAACAAAATATTAAAAATGAACATTTTATTTATGATTATATTCATATGTCCAATTACATTTGAGCCCCTAAAAATGGAGGGACGGTTTATTATGATGGTTGCAGTTCCTAAAATTTGTACTTGATATTTATGATCAACCCCTTTTATTAAAGCTGAAAGTCTGCACTTAAAATTCAATTGAATTGTTTCGTTTTAATTTATTCTGGTGGAATACAGAGCCAAAAGTATGAAAATTGGCTTTTGAAAATTTTGGTTGCTACCCATGCTGTAATAATTTATTTAAACCTTTTCACACTGAATGAAGCACCTGCATGCACAGGTCAACAGGGTATGTAAAACAGATTTCTTAATTACCTTGTGCAAAGAGACATGGAAAGAAGGCGCCTCAAAGTGTAGTATTGGCAGTTAACATACAAAGATAAAATTCCACTTACAGGAAGTCAAAACACAACAGGCTCATCATAGTAAATCGACCGATTTTCCTGATGGTATGGGTTAAGGGCCGTCCGGCCATCCAGCGGCAGCGTGACCCATGGAACGCAAGGATGTCGGAACTAAGATGGCTGTAGAACCTCGGGAGGAGTCATGGAATGCATACGTCGGAGGTGACGCAAGGTGGGAGCGGTAACACGTTTCGGAGCATGCACAAAGAGCTCCTTCATCAGAGCCTTTCGTATTTTGACTTTCTGTAAGTGGAATTTTATCTTTGTATGTTAATAAACTGCCAATACTACACTTAGAGGCACCATCTTACCATGTCTCTTTGCACTATAGCTTTGCTTCCAACTCTATGTAGAGCTGCCACGGTGTCTGTTGGGCTTCCCTATCCTTGATAACCATTCTGGCACCCCCCCCCCCCCCCCCCCCCCCAAGTGGCTACAGAGGTCTGGTTCCAGCAGGAGCGTCCTATGGACTATACACTTTGCTTAATTACCTCGCATGTAATCTCATAGAAATCAGTTTAGCAAACGTGAGTTTCCAATGTACTACTAAAAAATATTTAGAAACACAATGCTTGGAAATAGTTAATATCCACCCAACTTTGTTTCTAATTTGGGTTCCAATGATGGGAGGCTCTTTATGGCTCCACATTTGTGCGATATTGGATATGACTTGAGTCGCGCAGAATTGCATGATAATGGAAATCACTTTGTTTTCAACGGTGCCTGTTCACATCAATACAATTTAGCAAAGTGTGATTTTGAAAGAGGTTCCTGTACTACTCGAGTGCAATTGCAGCATGATTTTGACCGCATAGAATATAGACACCTGTTACAAGTTGCACTACATTATTGCACTGAAAGTCAAATCAAGAATCAGAGCGCAGCAATGTAAACCTATGTCAGAACTGCTTCAACAGAAGCTGTAGAACAAAAAGTGTAGGTACAAAAAATGTAAACATAAAATTAACACATTTTATGCATTGAACAATATAACCCTTACCATCCTGGCTGCTTTTAAGTTCCTCACTATACTTTTTCTGTAAAGCCAATTCTGCCTCAAGCTGAGCAATGCGACCCTGGGACAGCTGTCTCCCCAGCTCCTGATTCTCCTGGATAAGCATTCGACACTTCGCCATTAACTTTTTGCCTGTTTGGCTGTAAAGGAAAGAGTTTGTCAAAACATGGACAAGTTACTTTATGCACGTTGTTGAATTAGAGAACTGCGTTAAACATGCAAATGACAACTATTCAGAGGTTTTTTCCAAATATTTTTTTACTCAAAAGAATGAATATCCTTCTACAAGAGAATGGTTCAATTCTAAATGTAGGATTGCATTATCCATAAGAAACCGTTTGTTGGAATAAAATGAAGAGCTTTTGTAGAGTGATAAATGCCGATGCAACAAAACAGATAACACCAATATCACATTACTTGAAACATGTCTTCAATAGGATTCAGATGACCATGGGATAATGTCACTTCACTTACAAATGCAAACAGCTGCAGCCAGTTTACAACTTGATAAAAAATAATGTTCTTTAGCAAGCACTATACATTTCACAAATAATGATACCAAAATGAGTGTGTGTTGTAAATTGCCTTCAGCATTTTTGCTGCTTCTTCCTGCCAGAAGCTGCCATTTTGTTGAAGCACAGAGCCATCAGCAGCATTAAAATTTTAGGCTGCCAGCAGATCGGCCTCTAAAAATTTGGCACAGTGCCTAAAAATAGAGAGCAACTGAGCAGGGTGAGACAGTGTATTACTGGATATTAAACAGTTGAGGCACTTTTTATAATGTTTTACATAGCTACACTTGCAAAAGGGGCCAGCCTGAAGTCATCTAGCAGGACTTAATTCTCTGACTTCAAGAAAGATAACTAAAAAGGCCAACAAAAGGTAACTGAAATGTTACCACATCCATCTCCTTGCTGTCCTTTCTAAGTTATGATCCCCAAAACCTCTGCCGAGGGCACAACAGTACCATTAGCTTAACACTTCAGCTCAATGTGCCATCTGCTTACTTAACCTGTTTTTCTGAACAAACTGGTCAAAGTAAATTGCGGTTCTATAAATTTTCATTGCAGACCATTACAATTCCAAATTAGACAATTCCAGTGATAGAAAGTGCACAGACCAGAATGACTGAGCTAACGATACTTCTATGCGCTCTACACAGCTGTCAAAGATCTACAACTCAGGAAAGACCATGTGGAAGTAAGTGTACTTAACATGTTACCCTGCTCTCCTTTCCAGTTAATTTTCTAGAAGTTTCCTTTAACCTTTACAGTGTGTGGAAACATAGGAAAAAGTACATAAAAAGTGTAACTAAAAGGTCAAAACAAACATTCTTAAAAGGGAAGGTTATAACCCCTTTAAATTTTTTTTTTTTTTTTTAATCTGTTTCCCACTGGGGAGATATCCCTTCACTTCCCTATCCCACAGCCAAAAACAGAGAAAATCCCTAAAAAGTGAGGGGATCCTGGGGGTGTGACCAGGGTCACCAAAACTAGGACCGTAATTCAATTTAATAATATAATTGAAAAGCCAGCATTGAGTCCTCTCAACATCCAAAGATACATGGAATAATTCAAATGGCTTTAGAGGAATCAAATGTCAAAATCTATTCTGGCAGACAAAGTGTCCTGTAGGACTCAAATCAAAAGTAGTACAATATGTGTGTATAAAGATCACTGCAACCAAATAAAAAGGTTTCCACCAAAACAAGGAATTCAAGGTGTTAGTAGTTGTGTGCATTTCACTTTATTCCTTTACCCTGTTTGGAAAGTAGCAGACTGTTTAAGAATCAAACCACGCAGCTTCAAAACATGGTCCTGAGCATCTTGGAGAGAACAGTTGGGGTATAATTTGTGACCATGAGAGACAACAAATGAGAAACCATGAGAAAAGAATAACTGTAAATTATACACCGCAATATATATATATATATATATATATATATATATAATTTTGTTACTCACCATAAAATTCCTTTCTCTGAGTTAATTGATGGACACAGCCACTCTTAATCTTGACCAAACAGGGTTTTATAGCACCACCTACAGGGGTAGGATACTAGGAAGAAAATAATTTTTCACCTCCTATGGGCAGTCCTCTTTAGGTATAAAATCCTCGGTCTCTTACAAGCAAGCTAGATACACACAGTGCAGTGTACCAAGAGAATTTCCAAGAGAGGGGTAGGTGTCAGGTAATGACTCAGACAAAGGGATTTCACAGTAACAAAAAATCCTGTTTTCTCTTACTTCATTGACGGACACAGCCTCTTTTTTAATCTTGACGAAACAGGGACATCCCCAAGCAGTGCCATATTAAAAAGGACGGGAAATCAAACTAAAAGCCTAGAGCGACAAAACACTCAGAACCATCCCGAAGGGCCGCACAAAACCCAAAAAACAGCAGCCTGCAAAACTTTGTGGAAAACCTTTAACCCATAACATTCTGTGAGCAGCTTGCCTTCAGCAGAAAGAAGGTTTTATACCTAGAGGATTGCCAATAGGAGGTGCCAAATTCTTTTCTGCCTAGTGTCCTACTCATGTACTGGTGCTATAAAACCCTGTTTGGTCAAGATCAAGAAAAAAAAAAAGGTTGTGTCTATCAATGAACACAAGAAACAAAAAAAAACTCTTGAAAGAAAAAAAAAAAAATATATATATATAGGCTGTCAATACGGACATCATTAAAATGTTACCTGCCCATCGCCGATACTCTAAATCAAGCACCGCCCACCTCCCCAAGACAAACCTTGTGATTAACATCAGGCCTGCATACCTATCAAATCACTACAGCCAAAAAAGCATTTTCACAGAGAGGTCAACACTAGCAACCCACATTAAACAAGATCCCTTTAAAAATTCAGATACAATGAGGACCTGCTAAATTCCATTTCAGTGTAGCTGCATTAATTGCGTGAACAATGGTGGTCACAAATCTGAACACGTTCATTCACAGAAGAATCAAAGTAAAATGTACAATTGCAAAGCTTTAGTGAACAATTTGTGTACTAGTTGGGAACCCCATCACCCTTAAAATTAATTTGTCGCCATCAACTCCAAGGAACATTTATGCAAAAAGCAGATACCTTAAAAAATGTGTTGGCTTTACTGTCCCGTGAGTATCTGTGACCCCCCCCCCCCCCCAACAATTTATTATTGGCTATTCATATGCATAGGTCAATAGTTAAAAGTATATCTAAAGAAACAGCCCAATCTAAAGCTAAAATATCTCTTTCTTGGATTGAGTAGATGTAGAGGATGGTTAACCAGTCCCGTCAACTCCAGCACACTGCTTTGTATTGCTCTGCATAGCAGAGTAAGCAGTGTGCTTACAGTGAAAAGCACAGACACAGCCCCATAGTGAAACACACAGTTAACCCTTTGATCGCCCCAGATGTTAACCCCTTCCTGCCCAGTGCCATTAGTACAGTGTCAATGCATTTTATTAGCACTGATCACTGTATTGGTGTAACTGGGGATGTCAGGGACACTAAGTCAGTTCTCCCCAGTGTCAGAATGCCCGCCGCAGTCCCGCTATAAGGCGCTGATCGCCGCCATTACTAGTAAAAGAATATATATGCTGCCATTTGTAAACGGTATACCTTTCACATAAACCAATTAATTTACAAGTATTGGGATTTTTTTTTTAGCAAAACATGTAACAGAATACATTTTGCCCTACATTAATGACAATTTGATTTTTAAAATTTATTTACTGGACATCTTTAATAGCAAAAAGTCAATATTGTTTTTTTTCCCTCAATAATTGTCGTTCTTTTATTTATAGCACAAAAAGTAAAAAAACGCACAGGCAATTAAATACCACCAAAATAAAGCTATTTGTGGGGGAAAAAAAAAGGACGTAAATTTAATTTGGGTGCAGCAATGCATGACCGCGCAATTGTCATTTAACGTAACGCAGCTCCGTAACACAATGGCCTGGTCAGGAAGGGGGGGGGGGGGGGGTAAATCCTCTGGTGGGAAAGTGGTTAAATAGACCACATGGGATCAAATAATAATAGGAGGTTATTGTTAAGGTTTACACAAGATTTAACTAGGTCATTAAATAAAATCTAAATCAAAAAGAATATAGTACTGCTAAGACCATTTAAAATAATTTAAGTGTCAAATCCTAAATGACACTTAATTTATTTTCCCCACAAAAATTCCTCAATTAAATATTTAAAAAAAAAAAAAAATTGGTATATTTCCATACAGCTTTTTTAGACTTTATTCAGCAAGCTTTAGCGTTCATGTAATAATTTCTATGGTTTTTCAATACATAATTTTCAGCTTCCTGCGATTCTTTACAAATGCTAAATTACAGCTAGCATTCCATATGTTGTACTTGTACCAAATACAGCCTTAATCCAGAAAAGATCTCAAAGCAGTCAAGTAATTTTTTTTTAAACTACATTTAAACCTTGATTTAGGTGTAAATTAGGTCATTGCAAATGTGTTGCAAATATGCTTAGTTGTTACCACATAGTACATGCAAAATTCCAACATAAGGAATTCTGATTAAAAGACATATTACCAGTTTTATAAGATTACAAATTGCTATACTTTAGTTTACAAAATTTTTAAGTTTATTTTGCACCTACTGCAACATTAAAAAGGAAAACGAAATCCTCCAGATGAGTACTTGCAGTCAAATCATTGACATTCACCCAAAACCTGTCTCTCTTTGGCAGAAAGAGGGGTATAGTGTCCTCTACAGGAGGATAATACAGATTTAAATAGCACAGTTGGGCCTCATGCACACTGGCCATTTATCCACAATGCACAAGACTGGCATTTAGGGGAACATGGAATGCACAGATGTACAGTCCTGTCCAGCCCAGCTTCCGGCAGCCTGTAAAGCTCTGAAAACTGCTGTGGCTGGATGGTGCCATTAACGGTTAAGGCATTATGTGCCAAAGGACAGATTTCTAGATGCAGACCACTTGTAGCAGCTTCTCCGTTATACAGACCCTCATCAGCAGGGCTAGAAGGTGCACCTGTGCCTTCCACTCACAACTAAACACCGGAGTGTCATGCACTTGGGATAAATATCCAGTGTGCTTTAGGCCTTACACTGTGGGGACTTCATGTCTTTGAAACAGCGGAGGACACAGCTACTGGAGTGCCCAGGAAGCCAGCAC